TCGTAGTCTGGCTAATCAATGACTTCAACAAGAACTGGCGATAGTGAAATCCACTGTGGTCTGAGACATGCATGGACGCCCAGTGTTTAGTAGAAGATAGTTCATCAAGAAGGATCTTGTAGGAAGAAAAAGGGAAGTGAGAAGAACATGCACAAAGGCTTTTCCTTTTTCATCGACATTGTACGAAACCCTGCATGATGCTCTCTTAGAAGCAGAATGCAGCTAACCAGCTAACTTTCCTCTCACTTTATAAAGCAAAAAAGGATTTTTTTTTTTTGAGCACAGAGTTTACAGACTTGCTATTCTTTCCCTTCACTTTATCACATTGTGGATAACCATCACCATCACCAAAAACCAAAAACTAACAACAAACAACAAGAAGAAAACCCAAACAAACAAAAATAAATTCCAAATTTATGAATTTTTAGGGTATTTATTTACAAGTAATACTGCTGTAGAAGGCAAAACACACAATATAAATTCAGAAGTGCTTTTGATTCTTATTACATTTAATACTTCTTATATTCAACTTGTACAAATATGCACTATACTTTCAGTTAGAGACTCAAAGTAACTACTTTTCATAATAAACACCATAAAGGCAGAGACTGTTTGGCCCCACCTGTTAATTCTAAAGGTAAGCAAAAACTATGATGCGCAAACAATAGAACTGCCCAGAGCTCACAATTGTCAGTCTGCGTCAAACTCCTCTCAGTGGTGATGATAATGAGCCTGTGAGATCCAATTCAGTTCTACAGCATTTAAAACACTGTACTACTACAAAGCAATACATTACATGAATGCTATGGGTTTGGACAACATTTGAGAAGAAGTATTGTTTAGTACCGGTCTGGACGGTGGCTGATACATGAAAAGTGTCATCACAGGCCTGACATTTTCCATTAGGAGTTGGCTTTCCTGGTGGTGTATTGTTTGTTTTTATTTTATTTTGTTATGTTTTGAGACAGGGTCTCACTCTGTAGCTTAGACTTCTGGATCTTTTAAAGGCCAGAATGGCCCCAGACCTGCAGGGTCCTCCTTCCTCAGCTTCGTAAGTGGTGAAGGTGACAGCTGAGAGCCATCAAGCCTGGCTTCTAGTACAAGGCACTCAGACAAGCTAAGGAAAGGACCACATGCCTGTGAGCAGAGACTAGGGTCAAATGCAACCCCAAATGACTTGACCTGCTTCAGGACTCCAGGCAACGGTTTTCCAGAACTGACTGATGCTCTCACATCCCACTTATCCTCGCCTTTGCAGAAGTAATCTTTCCCTCGGAACCTCCACAGTACTTGTACATTTTCACATAAACAGCAGTTGTGGGGAGTCTTCATTATCACTGAATTGTAAGGATGTTTCATTTTTAATAAAACAACAAATTGGTACAGGGTTTTTATCCAGTCCAATTGATGCTTCCATTTTTTTCTATTCACTAGCATCAGAGTAGATTGCAAAGACTTGATGAATAAATAAGAAATTTAACAAAGTCGAGGGCAAGAATAAAGGACTAAGATTACTGGCCTATATGAACAAAGTATACATTTAAATGTTTTTCATATCATCTTCAAGTTTTTGTTTTTTAAATTTTACTTTTGTTGACACAGGATCAGTCTGGTGACATAGTTCAGGCTGGCTTAGAACACGATTTTCTGCCTTAGCCTTTGAGGGCTGGATCCCCAAGTTGTGATGGGTTTAATCATTGCCACTACATTCATTTTCAAAGCTATAGCTAACAATCTCCAAGAAAAACATTTGGCAAACCTACAGCCATTTCTACTTGAACATCTATCTGAAAAATATCATTAAGGCTATTATTATTTTTAAGAATCAGCCCACTGTTTATACGACAGTTAGTTGTCTTTAGAAGCTTTTTTCTTTTAGTGTGGCTTCTCAGTATAGACGGAAAATACCACAGCTATCTAAACTGAATGTATATAACATGAAAAACTTTTACATTATTTTTGACTAGATATTTTTTTCTATTTTAAAAAAGGTTTAATTTACTGTTTAATTTTGAAGCAAATACAGCACATAGATGAACGTTTTTCAATAAAACCAATTTAATTATTTTAAAAATCATCTTAAATGGGCTGGGGAGATGGCTCAGTTGGTGAAGCACTTGTCACACAAGCACAAAGACCTGAGTACAGACCCCCTGTGTTAGAGAGTGAAAGGCAGGAGGATCGCAGGGGTTTATTGATCAGTTAAGACCAGACACTTCAGGTCCAGTGTGAGACTTATCTCAGAAAGCTGAGGGCTGGGTAGATGTCTCAATGGGAAAGCATTTGTTCCATGAGCATGATGACCTGAGTTCAAACTCCCAGTGTCTATGGAGAAAGCTAGGCATGGCTGCATATGCCTGTAATAGGTAGATGCCAAGAACTCACTGGCTGGCCAGCTAGCCAGAAGGGTGAGTTTCTGGACCAGTGAGAGATTATATAGCAAGGTAATTAAGAGAAAGAGGAATAGATGAAGCTGCTTGCCTGTTTGCTCTGGTGCACACAGGCATGCATGCATATAACATGAGAGGCAGGGGGTTCAGGGGACTGGTAGAAAGACCCCCAAATCAACCTCTGGCCTCTGCATACACACATGTGCACAAATACGTCCCAGCTTAAGACTTCTTAAGGAAACAAAACCTATGCTATGCTATTCTTTTCTCTATGTATAAGGATGCATATTAAGTCATAAAAGAAACCAAACATTTCAGAACATTTTCTTATTTTAGGGTATTTTTTTTTTTACTAGAATAAAATGGTATATAGGCAATGGTTTTTTAAAAAGACAGCAATAATTTTTAGATGACTTAAAAACACAGAGGAATGGCTTCACTGTCAGGTGCTGACAAGATGAGTGCCTTTGTCGAATATATCTTAAGTGTCCCTACTCTTTTCCAACTTCCACATAAAATGAAGAATAAGTAAACATAGTAGCAGGCTATACAACAGAGGAGTAGATTGGTCTAGAACAAAGTATGAGAATACTCATGCCAGCCCTCGTATGCTTTTCTAGTAACTCTCCCTCTGATTACAGAAGTGATTGTCCTGGTAAGGTATTTGTCAACGTCATACAAACTAGAGTCACTTAAGATTGAATCTAAATTAAGGAAATTCCTCCATAACACTGGCCCATAGACAAGAGGGGTACTTGTCTTGATTAGTGATTGATGTTGGAGGTCTCATCCCATGGGAAGCAGTACCACCTCTGGGTAAGTGCTCCTGGATGGTTTAAGAAAACAGGCTGAGTAGCAGTTCCTCCATGGTGTCTGCCTGAGTTCCTGCCCTGACTTCCTTTGGTGATAGAGTATAACCTGAGAGTTATAAGATGAAATAAACTGAACTTTAACTAAGACAGTAGTAACAAAATGATCACTATAGAAACAGTAATAATAAGGAAGAATAAAAAAACTTCCACTGGGAGATAACTTTTGAACTGATTCTATTCTGCTTAAATTTTAAGTGCATTAGTGATGGCTAATATTCACTGTCAACTTAGCTGGATCTACAATCAGTGTGGAAATAGACTTCTGGGTATGTCTATGTGGGAATTTCTACAATGATTTAACTAAAGGCAGACTCATCCTCAATGTGGATAGAACCATCCCATGGGCTGGCCGTGGAGTGAGGAGAAAGTGTGCTGAGAAGCAGCATTCACCTTGCTCTGTTGCTGACTGCGGACTCAATGTGGCCAGCTGCCTCATGCTCCTTCTGCCATGATGGACTATGGTCCCTCAAAAGTGTAAGTCAAAACCCTCCTCACACATGTTTCTTCTTGTAGGTGTTTGGTCACAGTAACAAGAGAGTGGGCAAAAGGACGCTGCTACTGCAATGACCACTCTGCAATAGCACTTTTCATTATCACCAGCAGTTCATCCTCAAGATGAGCATTTGACTAGTCCCGTATTTCTACTCACATATGAGTAACGCTCTTACACATAAAACCATGCGCATATCTAATCTCCTATTCAGGAAGATAAATTGTACAGCCTTCCAAGAATGCACATAATAATATTTGTCATTGGTCTTATAAAGTTGTCTTTTTTGCTGGAGTCCAGCCTGGCACCAGTACTTTGAGGAAGATAGTGATGGGGTATGGAGTTCGTGGAAAGGCCAAAGTTTATTTATCCTTGGCAATTCTTCTGTCTACAACTCTTTGCTATTTTAAGACCAGTATACAATGATTTTGCATTGGTTTGCCTTGTAGCTCTTTGCTGGTCTTCACTGGGCTTCGCCTATTCTGGTCTTTGCCGACTACACTCTTGCATTGATTTGCCTTGCTTTCTTTGCTGATCTTCGTTTGTCGTGACTTTATATAGAGAAACACACCAAAGAACATCTGGTAGTATTCCAGCTGCTTTGTGTAGCTTCCATGGACTCATGTGCTGGTCAGCAGAGCTTCCCCGTTTCTTCTGGATGAGCTACTGCTTGCTACTGATTTGTGTTTGGTGTTTGGTAGACTGGACTGCCACTGCTGATTTCTATTTGGTGTTTTGCTAATGGACTGGACTCCTGACAAAGATTGGAATCGCCCCAAAGAACTATTTCTAAACTGGTCCACAACCTCTGATTCTTATTAACCTTTCTTTTCCCCTACTTCTGGTAGGTGGTAGGCTAGAAGGGAGGTTGGAGTATTGAAAAAACATGATTTTTAACTCTCTAAGCCTACAAGTAATTGATTAAAAATGTATACACTTGTGATATACAATGTAATCATAAGTGTGTATACATTGTGGGATTATAAAAACCAAGCTAGTTACTTCACAGAGTTATCTTTTTTTTTTTATCATGAGACTATTTAAGATATCCCTGCAGCAAGCTTTAGCTAGATACATAAGATATTATTCTTTTAAAAAGTATTGATTTTTGTGTCTGAGTCATTTGTTTGCATGCATGTATCTTGTGCCTGTGGAGATTAGAGGAGGGTGTCAGATCCCTAGGAATTAGTGGTAGAGGCAGTTATGAGCACCATGAGGGTACTGAGAAACAAACTCCAGTGCTCTGTTAGAGCACTGAGTGTTCAACCCTTGAGTGATCACTAAGCCATTGCTACACATGACACTATAATTCTGGACACTAAGCTGCGCGAGGTCTTTAGTGACTATCCATTCCACCTAAGTAAACTCTCCTTTCTTTATCACTTTCTCAGCATTTCCAATTATCATTCTATTGGTTTCCAGTGAATTCAAACGTTTTTAGGTTCCACATAAAAGTGAGATTATACAACATTTACATGGCTTACTTTTACCTAGCATACCATCCTCCAGGTCTCAGATTCTTCTCAGATTTTTAAATCTATTTTAGTTCAGTATACACCTAAAAAAAAATTTCTAACTTAGTTATCACAAACTGAGCAAAAATTCTTTTTTCTGTGTAGCATGTCATATTTTTTTTAATGGAATCTTCACATAATGATATGTACTAAGAATTATTTCTGGAGTTTATATATTTTTATCATTACCTAGTCTATTTTTTTAAAAAAAGTCCTGTATTTTAATTACTTAACATAATTAAATACCTAATGCCATAGTGTCTGTTTAATTTTTTTAGCTGTTTTGTAAGCTTTTCTTTTCTAATCAAAGTTATATACCTCTATTTTTTGCATATTCAGAACCATGTTAACATTATTTGCTGATTTCAAATGTTTTGTTTTTATATACACACATCTGCAAAAAATCCCCCCATTACCAGAGGTATCATTTCCCATCTCCCACTCATCAGGGAAATGATTATATCATTTCTGAATCTGGTTACTTTTAATCATGTTTTCAGATTCACTTACATCACATAGTGTTCCAGTGTTTCATTCCTTTATTATGGTCAGCAGTCCATTTTACTGAGACATCACTTCGGGCTTTCCTTTTCTCATTTGATATATATTTGAGTTGTCATTAGTCTGGGGCTATAAACACCCTCACTCACTCATGTTTTAGTATGAACTTACCTACAGTTCTCCAGAGGCATAAAGAACCATTCTTTTTCTTCCAAGAGTACGATCTACTGGTTTTAGCTATACCTGATCCCTCCCACATACAGCAATTCTACAGTTTCCTCTTTTTTTTTAAGTTAAGCTGTTTCCCATAGTTGATTGACCTTCAACTTCACCTCTGTCAACTGCCCCAGCCCCAGGAAGATTTAGAATCCTAACACCATAAACATAAACAACAACAACAACAACAAAATGGAGATGATTTTGTAACAGAAAAAGGAACATAGGGGTTCTCATTCTGAATGCTGAGTACTAAATGTTCCAAATGATCCAAGTATAGCTAAGTCTAAGCCCCAAAACACTCCAGAAACGTCCATCTTCCCATTTCTGAAGGAAAGCAAATGCTGTGAGAGGTGAGAGCCACACTGAACCTATGGAGAACACCTCTGTGTGTAGATGTCACCTGATTCTGATCCAAGGCCTGCAGAGGCCTTGGGATTCAGGTGATTTATAGGCTCTTTTCCAAGTCTGTCCCTGCTCTCCCCTTTCTGAGAGCAAAGGCTATGAGCATGAATCTGCTATTTCAGTTTGTTGACATGTGTCCAGAGAATACCATGAGATAATTTCAATTCTCAGTAGTTTAATAATCTTAATGAGTTGTATATGCCTTTGGTTCTATAGGCCTTTGGTTCTATAGGCCTTTGGTCTACCAACCTATTTCCTTTACTGGTGGTGTCTCAAGCTGTACCAGTGGGAGATGCAAACCCTTCTGTAATTATGAGGATTTCTCTGGAACCCACAACTGCCTTGATCCTCTGGGGCTGCTGGAACATTACTTTCAGGGATAAATTACTACAGAGATTTAAAGGGTGATGGGCACCATTGGCCATGGAGAAATAGTAATAGTCCTACCTTCAGATCCAGCTTGGCCACGTTCTGTAAAACCCAGATGCGATGGGACCAGGCATTATAGTTGCTGGGGTATCTTCCTGCTGCTTCACTGCAGACTTCCATCTCTTCCTGTATTATCCGCTGTGTCCTCTCTTCAGGAACTGCACCTAAACTTCCTTTGGCCACAGAGGAAGGCAGGGATGTTTCCTGACTTAGCTGTTGCAGCACCCAGCGCCTGTTAATACAGCATGGATGAAAGAAGAGGAAAGAACACGGGGGGAGAGAGGAAAACAATCATTTCCCTGGTTCCTAGTTTCTATGTACAGGTAATAAAAATAAGTTCTCTATAACCTGGGATATGGGGATAGCAAGGGGCTGCTCTGGAATACAAGTCAACTTAACAGTGTGGGCCAGAAAGGGGACATGAGAATGACAGGAAAGGGAATCTTTTCTAAAACTTAAAATCTGTCAGAAAGAAGTCATCAGTTCCAAAATGCCAACTTCTAAACACTACTTGACCAAGAAATACAAAGGGAGCCAGGGCACCTGCGTGTGTGGCAAGCTGGGCACAGGGCTGAGGGCACGGTGAGGAGGCAGCTGACTCGTGTGTGAGTCATGCTGCACGCCTCTCCTGCATTTGTTTGCAAACAAATGGCTCTGTTTTGATAGCTTTCATTAAACAAAATTTCTACATTTCAGCATAAAATGTGGAAAAAATATATTGAGGCATCAAGGTCTACAATGTCCTTAACCACAGATTTTCCTTTTGTCTATGTATAATTTGCATCAGCATACATTTCAGTCAAAAGCAACAGAAAAGGTTCCTAACCAGTTTATAATTTTATGGAAGCATACCTTCAGTCTGAAAAATTTCAAACTCATAGGTCAGAAAAATGAGTAAGAATATTCATTTCATTGTTAAACAATGAAGTTTTACAACAAAACTGTTTTGCTCTTAAACTACAGATTCCCTCCCCAATAACTGAGATGTGTATTTAATAGTTTCCTTCTGGCACCGGCCCCACCCTCATCCCTCCACCCCAATTCTAGCACTTGGCTCTCCAGCACTCGGCTGTCTGGGGCATACCATGCCAATTTTTGGTAAGGAAGAAAATACAGCTAACTGTGGCGTGGTAAGAGCCCACTCACAATGCTAGCCCAAGGCAAGATTACAGCCATGATACTTCAAACCTGCCCAAGAACCCAACAGTGCTCATGACAGAAATGTTTGAGGTGTAAGGAGGACAAACTGCCTGAAAATAACTCCTCCAAACCAGTAGGCCACAGCACTGTAGTTTAGCGAAGGGAAAGAAGTTACATGAGACGTCAGAAAAGCATGTTTCCCAAGAACAGAATTTTCAGTCTTTACTTGTATTCTGGCTGTCTCTGATTCCCACCCTAAAGATGCTCCTTGCATTCATGGTTTTAATAGCTTTTCACTTAGTCCAAACATCAATCACCTCAGTTACCTTTAGCCTCTTTAAAATTTACTTTTAATCATCTCAACAACTAGCCCACCATGCTTACTAGGAAGACAAGCTTATAGGGGGCTGGTCTGTTGCTGGGTACACAAATCCTAAATTCTAAAATCTAAAGATCTGGTTGCCATCCAGACGGGTACACCCTCAAATAAGGAAAGAGCCTGTGACTGCGCAGCAGAGAGAGGTGGGACCTGAGAAATTAAGTGAGGAGGTCCTGGGAAAGACCATGGGGAGAAGGAGGAAGATGGAGAGAGCGCATCTCCATTAGATGGGATGGACCAGGAACATATGGCTGAGAGAAATGCCCCGAGGACAGACTGATGGATCAAACCAGCCTGGGCGAGACAAGGTGCATGGTTTGGATGCAGGTGAGGCTCACAGCTTGTAAATAAAACATCAGGATTTCATGTCTTTTATATGAACTAGCTAGAATATATAATTCATTTACACAAGCCCATGTATTAGAGTTAAGTATCTAAATGCAATCTCCAAAATGGTTACAGATAGGTGAAAGCAGCCAGCATTAGTGAGCAATTATGTGCCAGGCGCTGTTGCAGTGCTTGTATGAAAGATTTCAAGAGCACTGAATTCAATGAGACAAGTATAAGTATTGCTCATGTTTTATGAATATGAAAACTCAGACTTGGAAGGACTTGCTACCATGGGCACTCAGTAACAAGTGATAATTCTTAGAAACAAATGTATGTAATGTGACTTTAGAATTCAAATTCTGAACCAACAACTGTGCTTCATAAGCTGCAATCTTAAATACAAAACTGTGAATATAAAACTATCAAGCACACCTGTGAATCCATGTCTCTGGACTCTTAGGAAACTTAGTTAAGGCCAATTTTCCCAGATGTAGATCCTTAATTGGACTTAAAGTGCCAGAGAGGATGAGCTCTTTCCTGTAACAAAAAGAAAACTGTTACTTTTCTATTAAAGCATTCCTTACTGCTTTTAATAAAATTCATTAATAAAAACCACCAAGAGATATTAAAGAATAGACAACAAAAGAGAGAACCTACATAAAGACCAGGCACCATAGCAGGAGTCTGCAATCTCAATTGCTAGGGGGTAGGGGGACTGGGGCTATGTCTCAGATCACCACCTAGGCATCATCTGTAACACAACAGATATGCAAATTTCTAGGTCTTATCCCAGAGAAACTAAACCAGAAATGGTGTGAGTGAACCATATTAAAGTTTTAAAGTTATTGGTTCAGAGTTTATTATCACCTTGGATACTTTTTTGTCAACTTGGCAAAAGCTAAGGTCATCTGGGAAGAGGAATCTAAAATGAGAAAGAACGTCAGCATTAAACTGGCCGATGGACAAGCCTGTGCGGCATTTTCTTGATTAACGATTGCTATGGGAGGGCCCAGCCTACTGTGGCTATGGTACCCTTGGTCCTGAGTTATACATGAAAGTGGGCTGAGAGAGCATGGGAGGCAAGCCAGTAAGCTGTGCTCTTCCACTTCTTCTGCTTCCATTCCTGTTTCCAGGTTCCTTCCTTGAGCTCCTGCCCTGACTTCCCTCACTGATGTGTGTGTGACCTAAGACTTCTAAGCTGAGATAAACCCTCTTTTCCCTGAGTTGATTTGGGTCATGTGACCTGAGACTTCTAAGCTGAGATAAACCCTTTTTTGAGTTAATTTGGGTCATGGTGTTTTATCACAGCAATAAAAACTTGACTACGACAAGAGTCAACCATAGTTTGGACATTTTAAATAGTAAATTTCAGAAATAATCATTTAGCTGAAAAACAAAACTTCAATAAAAATACTTTTTGTCTGAATTAATCAAATGTGATCTCTCTTCCAACCCTCAAATGTCAGAGAATTCAAGTGCTCACAGTATCACAATGGTTATACTAAAGGCCCGTGGCCTGAAATCCTCTTCCCACACATTCTCCGGCCCTCCAGTGCAGCTAAACTATCAAGCCATGCCTAGTGATCCAATCGCTCACTCGAAGTGCCTGTTATCCCCAAACAAGGGAAGAAAACAAGAAGGCATCAAACAGTATATTGTAATAGAGCAGGACAATCTATATTTTAAGAGAAAAATGCTTATAGAAAATAGAGTTACTAGGGGCATAGTACATGTATTAGAACTGTCATGGAGATAGTATAAAGAATTTGTCTAAGAAGTAAACTCAGGATGCTATGGGCAATTGGTTTATACTTCACTTTTCAAGCAGCTAAAACTCATGGTGTTATATGTCTTCAGAAATCTGGACAAACTTCATTTTACCACTGAAGAAAATGACATACCTCACATTCCATGCAGTGGTGAAGTCTGGGTTGAGAAGCAGCAGAGTGCAAGTGACATCTATCAGTTCTAAAATGAAGAGAGACATATAAGACCACAGTCCTGCCCACCAAAGCCTGGTTTCTCGGAAGGTCCTCTTCGTGCTCTTTCATTACAACCTGTATCTCAGACCATATGAATGTTAACAATAGACATACCTTTGTAGGATGTTAGGGATATGACTGCTATCCTCAAGATTTTCTTTTACTTGTGATTTGTATAATTCTTTTAAAAGTTAAGAAGTTTACAATATGCCCATAAGCAATAATTCATCTTCCATTCTTTTAGTAGATCTGGCAATAATGTAATTTATACTAAATAACAATTTTGAAACCAGCACTCCTTTAGTTCCACCAATGTCTCAAACACTGATTTTCAAAGGGGGGCGAGGAAAAAAAGAAAATCACCCATAATCTAATTTACATTCAGCTACAAAAAGTTTCCTTCTACACATTTTACATAGTAATAGCAATGACAAAAGTACAGTAATCATGTTAGAAAGGCTTGTAATGGTCTATTTTCTTTGGATATATTGGAAAGAGAATCACCATGGCAAAACACTACAAAAATCAATGTGCCTCCTACTGTGTTACAGATTGTCCTCTAAATGGACTGTGACTGTTTTATATTGCCAGAGAGTAACGTGACTACTTTTCTCCCAATTCTAACCTATTATACTTTAAAACATCAATGTGATGGATTAAAAGAAAAACAACACTCTACTATGTTTTAATCTTCCACGTTTAACCTTCAGCCATACAGCACTTTTCCTTTTTGTTTACTATTTGTAGTTCTTTGAGGACATGCTATTCATAGACACTAGATATTTCTCATGGTCTTAACAAGATGCCTATGGATACAGGTAAACTTCATAAGCCTGCTTTTAAAAGAACAAAATCTGCCAATTCTAGACATTTTGTTGTTTCTAAAATTGAAGATCATTTTTGAATTGCTACTGCTAATCTAGAGACATAATGCTAGAGTAGGTAAGGGCAGTAGGTGTATTAAACGCCAAGGGTATACAATGCGGAAGCCGCTGATGCACTTTATGTGGCCTTGCTGGGAGCAGCACAGTCTAAAGATATAATCTCATTCCTTCACTGCAGCCTCACAGTCGTGAGCCAAGCTACTTTTGTTCAACTTTACAGAAGAAACATGAAACTTAAGGAGGTCGTAAAGATTATTTTATGTACATGTTTGCTTTGTCCATATTATGTATCACCTATGAATGTATGTATGCACGTGTGCCTAGTGCCAGCAGAGGTCACTGGGAGCCCTGGACCTGGAGTTATAGACAGTTGTGGGCCACCGTGTAGGTGCAGGGAACTGAAGCCTGTGTTAGAGCAGCCAGTGCTCTTATTACACTGAGGCATCTCTCCAGCAGTGATATTTAGAGTTTTCATCAATTAACTTGTGATGAGGTTAACCGTGACACTTTTGGCATGTCACTTACACTGCAATTAAAATGCCTTTCTATAACAGATAAATAAAATGTTCTCAGTAATATGGGATAAACTACAAACATAAGAGCAAACACATAAGCATCTCATGCAACCACTTAAAAACTGGTCCAGCTAACTATTGATTATTCTCATATAATGTTAATGAAAAGATTGCAATTGTTCGGCACCTATGATTCTCCTGCTACTGATCACTCTGGACACTCAAACACTGAGAAGCTGGAACTATACATGGTCACTTGTGACCCACATTTCCCCATTGCAAGTTCCTACATGCAAGTGTGTTAGACAATTTAAGTACAATCTAATTCATCTCGATTTTCTTTCATTTGTAATAGTTTTTGACACGAATTTAATGTTTACCAAGGAAACTAATATAATGTTCTGTATCACTATTCACTTAATTTCACAAATATTCTAAGTATCAACAATGAGTAAAGATTAAACAGCACCACCTGAAGGATGGGTGTAATCCTGAGAAGACCTGATTTTATCCTTCATAACGTTATCTATCTTCTCATAGGACATATACCACATTTGGGGCCTTCCAAAAAGCTAAGCCTAATTCTATTTTTAACATAATATTTTTGTTGATTCTTTGGGAATTTCACATCATGTAACCCTATCACACTCATTTTTCCAGTCTTTTCATGTCTGTTCCCTACCCTTGTGACCTTTCCCATAAAAGAAATTAAAAATTAAAAGAGAAAAAGAAAAGAAAGAAAGAAGGAAAGAAAAAAACCAGGTCCACTCTGTGTTATCGATATACTTACTGGAGCATGGTCACGCTCTCAGTGGCCTGCCCCTTAAACAGATCTGAGTCCTTTCCCTCCCACACCTCCGCCAGAAGCCATCAACTGTGAAGAGCTACTCTTTAGCAACCTTATCACACTTTAAGAGTTCTCTTTGATGGCATCCTGTTTAGCTGCTACCTTGGGGGTCGGGTTGGAGAGATGGAGTTTGGGGTAGAGGTTGTCACCACAGCCTTCCATAGCCCTCTTTTTCAATTGTGCATCTGCATTCATCGATCTCACCACAAATGTAGCTCTCTAGCTCCTCACAGTCAGCAAGAGCATGGAGCATGAGCTTCCATGTGGTTCTGGTGACAGCACAGATCACAAACTCAGGCCCCAACTGCAGTACAACTATGGGCCTAGACAAGGCCCTGGGAGGCAGCCCAGACCATGGACATCACCATGGCTTCAGGTGGCAGCACAACGCACAGACATACACATGGCCTTTGGTGGTAACACGGGCCATGGACATCAACACAGACCCAGGCTGCCACTAGTAGGACCCTGGACCCAGACATGGCCCTCAGAGGCAACATGACCCTGGGCATCACCGTGGCCTCAGGTGGTAGCACAGGCCACTCACATCAGCCTGGTCCTCACCACAGCACACGCACTGCTCAGTTTTTCTGTCTTTCCCATCTCTCCATCACATACTTGTTCATCATGGTGGTGGAGGTGGGTGAGGGGCTGGCTTCTGCCCTGACTAGTTCTTACTAGTATACCCGTGGGGACTATGAATGAGTGCAATGGTAAAAGCACTGCAGACCACGCAAAGTATGGGAAAGCCAAAGAACTACGGCACACAGACAACTACAGCAGAAAGAGGTAAATCGTCTTACACCAAAACTGGCTAAATTCTTAACCTGACAAAACAGTTATCATTACCCGGTCCCAGCATGCACTTATGGCACATGGAAAGGTTTCTATGTGACAAGAAAGCTGTGGAGTTTCTTTGATGTCTGCAATTGTTCCAAAAGCGGTTCCACTCTGAGTACACTGGCTCTCGGTTCCCACAAGAGTCACTTCTGTTTGTACGTTTACTGCAACTTCTATTCCCTACAAGTGAAAAAGAAGCCTCTGGACAGCAGCACAGGCAGAGCTAACGAACATACTGAATACCAAGTTTTCAGTATTCACGTTGCTCTTTTTTTTCTTTTTAATTTTAACCATTCCACCACTCTTTTAATGTACTCTAACTCTGTATTTAGTCTTCGAGAAGGGGGCAGGTAGGTAAGGACAGGAGGGCAGCAGGCAGGCAGCAGGCGGTGGTGGCGAGGAACAGAAAACGACAAAGCCCAAGTGGTGGAATGTTTTAAAAATGAGACCTGAATGGCGTGGAACGTTGCTGTTTACAGTCAGAGGGAACACAGATCATGGCCCTTGAAGCCATGTTGATATCTGTGGGCCATGCTGCAGCCAGAGGCCATACTGATCTGAGTGGCCTTTACTGACACCTGAGGCCATGGTGATGTTTGTGGTCGGCCTCCGAGGGCCTTGTCTGGGTCCATGTTCATGATCTGTGCTGTCACCAAAAACTATAAAGTGAACACCAAAGTCCCCATGCTTCAGCAAGAGGTTTGGAAGAAGGCTCATCAATGTAGTGCTTCCTTTGCTAGTGACTGCAGCTGCTAGGATCACAGTCCTGCTTCACCTCTCATGGGGAGTTCTGGGCAAAACACACACACATAAGTAAATCACTTAAATCTCACTGTGCCTTACCTTTCTCATAAACGAAGCTTACAACAGACCTATACCTGACATACAGTGAACACTGAGCTCTGGATGTTACTTTTCATTACAAAGTTTGCAAGTCATAGTTCCACAAGAGCTACTAAGGGTGGATGCCCTGGAAGAAGTGAGTCAAGCTTAGCAGTGGTTACTGTGCAGTGAGATACCTAACAACATCTAAGAATCCTGGGATTTAAAACATCGGCAGCCTTGACAACCATCAGTGGAGTCTAGTAATTAAGTATATCCAGGGTTTACCCTTCCTCATGAACTTCTCATGTTTCCTGATTCTGAAGTCAGTTCCAAGGCCAGTGGGGGGTGGGGATGTGTCCTTGGGGGGTGTTGTGGGTGACATATAATGTAAGAAACAAGAACTGGGCCAACCAAACAAAGGAAGAAAGAGATTAAGTAATTTAACCTCAGACTGCTGATGCTCTGACTTTTCAGGTCTATCTTCCAGCAAAGCAGATGTGAGCACACTTTCGGCAAATGCTTTATCCTGTACAGGAAGGATGAACCAAGTTCCAAACATAAACATGTGTAAGTAACAGTTGACTGCAATTTCATTACACTTTAAATTTCACTGGCTACAGACCATTTCTTCTACAGCCTTACACAGAAGTCAAGAGCTCCTGAATGTCCTACAGACTCTTGAAATCAAACAGGCCTCTCTCCAAATACAAAACACGGGCCAATAAATATATGCTTACTATACACATTCCAGTGTATGACTAACCCATCATCACCTCACAGGCAGAAAGTGAATCTGGGTAAATCATTCACACGAAGTAGCTAAATTATAGCTGGGACAAGAAAAGCACATTCAGATACTACAGAAGTCAGAGGTTAAATCAATACACTTTGTTTGCTGAGCTTTGTCCTGGTTTTACTACTATCTCTGACAGAGAATGATTTCTATGCATCTAAAACTAAATAAATTCAAGATAATATGCTGGTTAGTCTCCTTCCAAAATACATTCAAGGACCATATAAAGGAAAGCTTAAGGTAAAGCTATTTATGACCGTACTGAACAATGGACTAAGCTAAGAACTCTTGCTAGTCATCTGACAAGGGTCAGTACTGAGTAAGAGCCATGATCCTAGTTCTCAGGAACCCACAGTCTAGCAGGGAAAGTATTTCAACAACAAACTACGATACACTATGCGAGTGACAGCTATGAAATCACCTGAGTAAAGAAACCCCTAGAGTGCAGAGATGGCTGCGACTTGTAGTAGGCAGAAAAGCTCTCAGGGACGAGGGTGAATCCAGCTGCTAATGCAGCAACCAGGCTGTCGATGGCTACACAAGGGAAGAAGCGCACAGTGATGTCAGGATGCAGCAGTGCTGTCTGTGGCTGGACTAAAGATTAAATATGACAAATGAAAATAGGGTAGGGGTCAAATAAGAGTCAAAACAGCAGCAAACAATGGTTAGCAGCAAGTGGCACTATTCCTAGAATCTAACTGGCATGAAGAGGTTACAGTGCGCCAGAAGCTCTGCTCAGTTAAGAAAGAGTAGGTTACTGTTGCCATGTAGAAGCTTAAACACTTGGGCCAACCAATTTTTCAAGTAAGGACCGAAATTCAAATTTCCATCCTGACTTTAAATACTTATTCAACTAGTTAAGGACAGTTTTTTAAATACATAAGCCAAAATGACACGGGTCCTTAGATAAGTATTAGACTAGGGGCCAAGAACCTGCAATCTCTGATGACAAATATGGAGTGGAGACAGCACTGCTAATTAGGCTTTGAATAGATGGCTAAAGGCCTTGAAATCCTTCTAAAGAATTTCAATACTTCATTAGCTCTGTTCATTGGCTCTGAGAGAATAATGAAATACTGTGTGAGCATAATAATGTAATAAGATAGTATACTATAGTGCCGGGCAGTGGTAGCGCACGCCTCTCATCCCAGCACTTGGGAGGCAGAGACAGGTGGATTTCTGAGTTCGAGGCCAGCCTGGTCTACAGAGTAGGTTCCAGGACAGCCAGGGCTATACAGAGAAACCCTGTCTCGAAAAACCAAAAAAAAAAAAAAAGAAAAAGAAAAAAAGATAGTATACTATATACTCACGAATGTATGCATCATAATAAATATTAGGGCGGGCATGGAGGAACTGAAGACAGGACGAGGGGATGATGGGACAAAAAGGAGGAGGGAAGTGATATGATTATATTTTAAATTTAAAATAAAAATTGAGAGGGGAAAAAGATGCTGGAAAGTGTTATTTGAAGTGGTTGGTTAATGCTGTGAAGGGTGTAAATTACAGAAGAGTCTGCAATGGGATCAACCAGCTATGAGATAGTAGCATTTCCCAGCCGACAAGTATAGGTCTAGTCAGAAAAGGCAATGAGAGAGAAAAAGAAAAACACAGAAGGTACGCGTAAATATACTGAGTGCTTTGGCCAGAGTTCTGCCCTTGTGGGACTATTCATGCTGTTGTGCTGGCTAATTGTATGTCAATTTAACACAAGCGAGAGTCATTTGGGAAGAAGGACTCTCATTTGAGAAAAATGTTTCCATAATTTACCTGTGGGAAAGTCTGTAGTGAACTTTGCTAATTAGCACTTGATGTAGGAAGACCCAGCTGATGGTAGGCCACGCGGCCACCTCTGGGCAGGGGTCCTGGGGAGTATAAGAAAACAGGCTGAGCAAGCCTTGAGGAGCTGCCAGTAGCATCCTCCATGCCTCTTCTTCAGCTCCCACCTCCAGGTTTCTTTGAAGATGGACTGTGATGTGTGAGTGTAAGCAGAATTAACCTAACCTCCCCCAGCTGCTCTTGGCCATGGTGTTCATCACAGTGACAGCGACCCTAGACCCTGTGCCACCCTTGCTTGACTTCTTATTGGTTGGTTGGTTTTAGTAGGCCAATCAGAATTATATCATTCTTCTGCCAAACATAGTTATTACTATATTGGGCTTTTGAATACCACTCCGTAACTAAACAATAGTTCTTTCAAATATCTTAGTTATTTGATCATTAATGAGTATGAGATATAAACTCAGGTGAAAAAAAATCTATTCTGATGATATAAAAGTCACTGAGTTATAACTCTATTGCAAGATTCTAGCCCAACCAAGTAGATTCTGAAACACTTATTAAAGTATCAGCTTTCTACCTTTGGTTTTTTAAATATACGGAGTACTTCCTACCAAAGACGGGGATTGGTCAAAGAAATGGCATTTTTCTAAAAAATTTGAATTTATCTTTCTTTAGCAAGATTCAGCTGTGTTCTGTTTTTAGTTCCTAACTTGGTACAAAATTTTTGTGTTAGCATTTCAGACATCAAGGCCTGAGGAGGCTGTGCCACCACACAGAGATGCTCCCTACTGACCCAAGCCTTAGGTTATCATAAAACTAGCTCTTCTCCAGATCACCCAAGATAAATCAAAACCTGCCTCAGCCGTCCTCCTGATAAGGTTCTATGGGGCTATGAAGACTGAAATCTCGTGAATACGATAGTGAAGTTTGCAGTATGATGCCTATAAGCTAAGAACCTGAAATGCAAAGAAGGATTTGGATGGCCACGGGACAAGGGGGTGAAGCTTAGGCGTGTGAATGGTCAAAGTCTAATGCTATCAGACAACTTAGACTTGATCTCCAAAACCTCTGTTTCCTCTGTATGAGGCAGTTATTCTGGCCCGTTAGTGTGCATTGGCTCAGTTACACCAGGTTAAAAACAATACAGCTTCATTTGGCAAAACATAACTTGATAGAGTACCATGGCTCTTTGAACTCCACACTGTGGTGACAGAATAAAGAAGGTCTAACAAAAGCCAAATGCCCTTACATTTGTCTGAAGTGTATGCCTAAACTCAGGTCATGCTGTTAACATCACACCAGGTTTAGACAGCACTTGTGACTTGAAACATTTGTCAGAGGATTAATCAAATGAAACTATTTGCCGGGCGGTGGTAACACACACCTTTAATCCCAGGATTTGGGAGGCAGAGGCAGGCGGATTTCTGAGTTCGAGGCCAGCCTGGTCTACAGAGTGAGTTCCAGGACAGCCAGGGCTACACAGAGAAACCCTGTCTCGAAAAACAAAAACAAAAACAAAAACAAATTGAAACTAGTCACAGAGAAAATCAAAATCTCTTCTCATTTAAAAAAGTCAGACTACTTCATGGTCCACACAGGAAAAAGGGCTATTAACCTATTTTGACAGTCTTTTAAGGATAGTAATGAGAAAAACTCAGGGAAATCAGATGGGATATCTCTGTAACATACCTTTTCCCAGAAAGAGGCTTTATGGCTCTCTACTCAAAACTTCTTAGATAAGGAAACATGCACTATGCATCTTATATACCCTCAGTCCTCAGAGGAGCTGCTGGTAAGAGGAGGCCCCTGGTAATGGCTACTGAACTGATCATTAAACTTGTTTAAGAAACAAGATGTTACTCAAAATCATCCTGCAGGCACACTGGGCACTTCTGTAGATGCTGCTGTGTAAGGGAAGAGGATGGGCTTTACAAAAGGAGACAGGACGTGGTCTTAGATGAACACAGCCCAGAAGTAAGACCTGAGGTCATATAGAATTTGTGCACTCAGGCTTGGTCTGAGGGAACTCTGGAAAAAGAGGCCAGGTAGGGTACTCAGGGATGATCAGTGACATAAAGAGTTGTCATAGAACAATGGAAGAAGTAAAAACCAACATTTTCTCTTTCTTAATTTTCACTCTCTCTTTTTGCCACATAAGACTCAGAAGGGCTGATCTCAACTGGGACTCAAAGCCCACAGAGCGGGTCACTGCAGCTAGGAGAGCACCAGACCTATCTCTGAATTGTTATTGAAAAAAATTCCGCTGACTAAGGAGTCAGAAATCAGGTGCTTATAGGATCTAGAAAACTCTTTGATGATGCTCAAATATCCTTTTATTTATGTATTTATTTTTTTAAACTAAAGGATGCTATCCATAAATAAAGTCTTACAAATGACAGCATATTAACACATAAAATCACTGTGGCGACAGTGAGTGGCTTGACTCCTGCCTAAGACACTTCCATTATAATCACTGAGGTTACAAACAGGAACACTAATGATCAAGTCTAAGCTCCACATTTGACAGAGAGGACAAACACCTGCTCAGGCTGAGCAAAAGAGAGCCAAAACTAGAGTCCAAGAATGCTAACTGCAAGCCAGGGCTCCTCCCAGAGGAAGAAGCCCGGTCGGCACATACTCACCATCTTTGTTCAGCCATTGCTTTCTCGTTCTGTACAAAAGGAGCTTGTTGTGGACATACGGTAATAAGAACTTGACACACCAGCTCTCCACACCAAGTTTGTTCTCAACCAGGACAATGGGACTCCGGTTATATCTTGCTTCAGGGCATGGGATCAGGCCAATTTCATCTCTAAATATGGAAGACATAAAAAGAAATTGAAGATATTACTGGCTTTAATTCTTTTTTTTTTCTAATCCCATAAAGCATTTTAAAAACCTCACATATTTAATTCTCTTAAGAACAGAACTAAGCCCATCTCCTGGAGTTGTAGCACAGGTAATTTTTTAAATGCAGTTTGTTGATAATAGCTGGACAGGGGAAACAGTACACTGCAACCCTCCCTGCTGGCAGGAGTGAAGACTCAGCTTATCTGTAGATGGCAATCTGAAAACATCTTGCAGAATGTTAAAGCACATGCTCTCATCCTGCAATTACATCCCCTCCCCCACCACCACCCTAAATACAAAATACAGCAATGTAGCAAGACAAGAAACAACCAAATCATTTAACAGTATAATGCCACTAAAGTAAGCATAGCTCATTAGTGTGATAACTTGAAAATAAAGATACAGGACTGCATATACAGGTATACATGCCAAGAAAATGTGGAGAAAACAAACTGTATACAATGAAAAAAGCCCTTTATATAATTTTAAAAACATACACATATATTAAATTACAGAAAACTTTTGAGAGAGGTAATGAGGAAGAATTTTGGATTTATGTAATTATTTCTATTTTAAGACTGTTGCTGGACAGTGGTGATGCATGACTTTAATTAAGCACTTGGAAAGCACAGGCAGGTGGATCTCTGAGTTCAAGACCAGTGTAGTCTATAAAGTGAGTTCAGGACACCCAGAGCGACATAGAAAAACCCTGTCTCAAAAACAAACAAACAAACAAACAAACAAGCAAACAGAATGAAAACCAGTGTGTTTGTTTGCCTACTGAAATAATAAAAGTGGAACAGAACTTATCAATAAAGGTTAGCACATACTTCCTTGGATATGGCTGAATTTAAAAAAAAAATCACCCTTATGATAAAAATACATTTTAGAATGTGGTCAATCCACCTTAAGTTGAAAATTTGCACTAAAAACAGACCCGATTAATAAACAATGTGCAGAGCAGATTCACAAATGAAACAAATGTTTGTAAAACTTACACACGTATTTCATTTGCGAAAGTGCTTAAAATTCTTACCTATGTAATTTCTTAAATAGGATGTCCTTTAATGAATAATGAGAACTCTGTTAGAGGGCCTGGGAAGACAGCTCAGAGGTTAACAGTGACTATCGACTTGTAGAGGACATAGGTTCAGCTACCAGCAACCATGTGGGGCAGCTCACTACAACCTGTAACTCCAGCTATGGGGAAGTCTAATACCTTTTTCTGATCTTGGCTCTTTAAAAATAAGAGAGAGCTGGTTCCACTCAGCAAGTAGAATGCTTGAAGTAGAAATATTAGGATGAGCCGGGCGGTGGTGGCGCACGCCTTTAATCCCAGCACTTGGGAGGCAGAGGCAGGCGGATTTCTGAGTTCGAGGCCAGCCTGGTCTACCGAGTGAGTTCCAGGACAGCCCGGGCTACACAGAAAAACCTTGTCTCGAAAAAACAAAAAAAAAAAAAAAAAAAAAAAAAAAGAAAAAGAAATATTAGGATGGGGTAGGATCCCCAGTACACAGGTACAAAGCCAACTGTGGCCATACTTGCCTTAAAGTACAGCACTGTTGGGGGCAAAGACAGGGGGATAGCCAAAAACAAAGCTCTAGGTTCAGTGAGAAGAGACTTTGCTTCATGAGAATAAGTTGAAAAATGATAGAAAAGAATAAACCCCATATCCAAACACAAACACACACACACACACACACACACACACGGGTTGAAGTTGCAGCTCTGTTGGTAGAATCCTTGTCTAGTATTTTTGAAGCCCTGAGTTTGACCCCCAAGCACCGCCTAATTCTGGCTAGATTGCAGACATGTTGCAATCCTTGTACTTGAGAGGCAAAAACAGGCTGGACATGGTGGTACACACCTTTAATCCCAGCACTTGGAAGGAAGGCAAAGGCAAGAGGATGGATCTCTGAGTTCAAGGCCAGCCTGGTCTACAGAGTAAATTCCAGAACAACCAAGACTACATAGAAACCCTGTCTCAAAAAAAAGAGAGTGGGGGCAAAAGCTACACAACTGGAAACTCAAGGTCATCCCGAGTCACACAGCAACCTTGGAACACAGGAGATGCTGCTTCCCTTTCCCCTACCAAAATAAATTTTAAAATAATAATAAACAATTTGATCTCCACAATTTATGTGTGATGTGTCCTTTTAAGACTCTTAGATTCCTTTGCCAAGAAGACAGCAGTCTGATAAATATAAAAGGGGAAACATGTTTAGTTACAGACTATCTGAAGAATCCTCTTCTGTTAAGTCACCACCACAAGTCAGAAGGAAGCACAGATCTAAAATAGACCCACCCAGAGAAACCTCTAAACTGGCTACTTCAGAGACAAACCATTTTCTACTGATCACTTTGTTAATGACACAGGGATCTGTCAATAAACGAGGATGCTACCATTCCTTCTAAGGTAATTAAACTCTGCAGAAGGTTTGGGACCTATAATATATTCAGGAGACTCAAAGGTCTCTTTTAATACAGACACACCACACTACACCAGAACCATCACTGTACAAAAACCCTTCACAGAATATACTGCATATTTTTAGTTTCTGATAATCCAAAAAAAAGAATAGGCAAAGGCCCACAGACTTCTAAGAATTTTTCAGCAAGGCTTTGCATATCTAACTATAAGAAAGGTTATAGTTGGCCCTTCCTGTAACATAAATGAAGTTCTCTGAGGAAAACACTGAGAACAAGCACCTCAAGTCAATACCGCAGTTTTCAAAGCACAACATTGTATCTGTACTGGGAGATAAGAACTGAAATCCACCTAATCCCTTGTAAACACAACTAGCCACGCCCTAGTTACTGGGAATATGTTTCCTGGTGTTCATATTTTAGTATATGAAGTTGAACATCTTAGGAAATAGCCTACTAATAAAATAACTCCTTCAATCCTAGCACTTGCGAGGTAGAGACAGAGGATCTCTGTGAGTTCAAGGGTAGTCTGGTCTATACACTGTATTACAGGCTAGCCAGGACTACAGTGAGACCCTGTCTCAAACAAATATAAATAACCTAAAATTAGCACAACCAAACGAAAAAAGCAACCCCTAGATTTACTCACTCAGGAGACTGTGTTCTTTGAGATCTAATAACTACTTGCAACACTTTAAGGAGGTAAAAACAAATGCTACATTAGTAAGAATAAAAGAGTCTCAGCTTCTAGACACACAGTTTGGGAGTAGGTTTTTAAAATTTAAATTCACAATGTAAAAACAAGTTTTGCTCACTGTAATGACCATTCCTGGTCATCAACTTGACTGTATCTAGAATGAACTACAATCCAGAATTGGAGGGCTCACCTGTGATCCAGCTCTTGAGGCTGGAAGACACAAGTTTCTGACCTGGATCTTGGCATGGAGATCTTGAGGCATAGTGGCTATGAAAAGTTTAGGCCCAGGCAAGGTAATACATGCCTTTAATCCCAGGAGATTAAGGCAAGGAGATCTCTGAGTTCAAGATCAGCCTGGGACAAAACAAGTTCCAGATTCAGGCATGATGGTACACACCTTTAATCTGAGCCACACCTTCTGCTGGAGACATACCTAAGGACATTGGCAGAAGGAAGATTAGCTCTTCTTCACTGCTTGCATTTACTTGCCAGCTCATCTGTTGGAATCTACTTCTACAGAAGATCAGATGAAACAACTAGCCTCGTGGGACTGAGCAACTACTAGATTCTTGGACTTTCCATACATTGCTGACCATTGTTAGGGAGTTAGATACAGACTGTAAGTCATCATAATAAAGACCCTCAATATAGAAAGACATTCCATATGTTCTGTGACTCTAGAGAACCCCGACTAATACACTCACTATAGTTGTACTAGATATAAAATATCCAAGTGCTATTTTGGTACCTAAATTATAGGACAAAGTCATCTGCAGAATTAAAAAACACACTCCTGTGACCCTTTCAAGAAACTTTCAAAACACAGAGCCTTGTGTGGTCAATAACTGCATCTGAATGAGCGGTCATCCTTGCTCCTCAGTGACATCCACCCAGCTTCCAAAGGTTACTCTAAGAGAATATTACCTCTGCTCTTCTTTGTAATACACTGTACTGAGAACAGCATGGGCCATCTAACACTCAACTTTGGCCTTGACAGACTTTTCCCATCTGTAAGAGGGTAGAGCTGTATTCTATCTCCAGTAAAGGAAATGGGCTAGAGTGTACGCAGCAGCTTTCCACGTAAAGAGAATGAGTCATAAGGATGTAAACCTTTGAAGAACTAAAGAAAAAGAAATCACAAATGAAGAGAAATGCAGTGTTGTAGAGACAGAAGCTCTTGATTAGAGCCTGGACTAATTAGTCTCCTTTCTACCACTAATGGCCAGTGTGATGTTAAGTCCTATACCTCTGGACTGCTCACCTGAAATACAGAAATAGTATCTTCCCTGTTAGGAAAACCAAAGGTGAAGAATGTGGCAAACTAAAAAGTGCTAGGCAAGGATAAATACTGTCAGTTCACTTAACAGCATGAGGTCAGTGTCACGTTTCTTCGTTAATAGGCAATAGGTAGCCGAAGCAAAGAATCTCAATCCTTTGTCAAGTTATTTTACCCTAAGAAAATGGAGTTTTGTCACTTCCAAAAAAATTAACAGCATTTTCTTTGGAAGATACGTTGTCTTTAAGCTTCCAAATAGCAGAATGTTTCAATTTAGATTTCTGTATCTATTCCTTTAGAGGACTAATTTTTTCAGGGCATTTTGGATTCCAAAATCATTTAAAAATGACTTTGTTATTCTTTTATTCTTCTTATGTCTCCTTTTATCAGATGAAGTCCATTGAGCTTAAGGGAAAATACACACTAAAAGCCCATTTCTACTGTTACTAACATTTGGTATCCTTAAGTATTTTTATAGAAAGTCAGATCACATCGGGCATAAGCTTTTGACAATACTCAACATGAACTCTGTAAAGTATCACAACAGAACAGAAAACAGCCCAGATTCAGCAAATTGTATAAATATCTTTATTGAATATTTATTTTTGTCTTAGAAGTTGTAATTCTTTCCAGAATGATCGAAGAGGAGACAGTAAAATACCTATAGGAACTGACGCTTGCTTGCATATTAATAATTAAACCCCTAACTGGTAGCAAAGATATTTCAGAGGCCTAATAGTCCTCCTCATTAATTTTAAAGATTGCTAACTTCCTATACCACTGAAACTATACTACTGACACTATTTAGAAAAAAAAATAAATTTCTGTTTACTGAATACCACAGTCTGTGTTTACTCTAAGCAATAATCTACAGTAAAAATCTTTACCCCATTTTACAGATAGAAGAGTCTCACCTAAGTATATTGAGCTAGAAAATAAAATATGAAGATTCAAATCTAGGGCTCAAATTCTAAACGAAAACTTTAAAAACTATACTATCATTTAAATGAGCAAAATATGCGTGTAAGACCATTATATTCTTAGTTTCATATTCACCAATCTGTAGGCAACATTAAACTGTTTCATTATTACGTCCTTACTTAGTAGCCCTTCTATGGATTAAAAGTGTCTCAATTCAAATGCTATTTTCCCTGAAAGAACTATCTTGACCTTGTAAGTGAAATAAAGTCTCACTATTCACGATGTCTTTCTTACCTTTCTGCCTACTTTCAGAAGTTACCTGTTGATTGGTTTGAAGTTCCATTAAGGATAGGGCCCTTTTCTCAACTACACATTACTGCACTACTTTACATGCTCAGCTCCTGGTAGACTAGCCCCAGACAAGCATGGCCTGTCAAATGTGCTTTTTTTTTTTTCTATACATATGAATGTAACAATTAGAACAGAGAGTCAAGAACTTCTATAACCTTCTCTTGTGTGATCTTTTCAATCACATGTTACTTTTGATCAATATAATGGCCCCAGTTTCTTCTGACACTGTAAGTCCAACCAGACTTTGATGCTCATGTTAAATGCTACCTCCCATGGGATACACCCAGCCTCCCTTCTCCAATGGACAGCACTTACACTACTACTAATGAATCTTTAGTAGGAACTACATTGTAGGCTTAATTTACTGTTCATGTAGGTTAAGTCTTAGGTCTTCACTAAACCCATACCAGGTAACACAGTATGTATTTCTCATATGATTATGCTTAAAATCAGAAGTTCAGTTCTCATTCACATTAAGAACATTCCAAGTGTCCAATAGCTACACATAGTATAGTGGATGTACAATTTAACCACACCAGAAATTTGGCCTCAGTACAAACTATATTTTGTACTTCTTGCCCCACATAGTGAATATGCATCTCAAATCAATGTAGATATTAGTGATGGTTTGTATACGACTGGCCCAGGGAGTGGCACCATTATGAGGTGTGGCCTTGGAGTGGTGTGTCAATGTTGGTGTGGGCTTTAAGATCCTTATCCTGGAAGTCAGCATTCTGCTAGCAGCCTTCAGATGAAGATGTAGAACTCTCAGCCCCTCCTGTACCATGTCTGCCTGGATGCTGCCATGTTCCTGACTTGATGATACTGGACTGAACCTTTGAACCTGTAAGCCAGTCCCGATTAAGTATTGCCCCTAAAGCGTTGCTTTGGTCACAATGTCTGTTCCTAGCAGTAAAGCCCTAACTAAGACAATATTCAACTGAAAAAGAACAATTTTCTGGATATGAGAATATTAACATGATTATCTAATTAGACTGTTCAGTAGAAACTGCCTTCCACACTAAGGCACAGTCTCTGTCTCATGGTAATAAATATTCCTGCATCAAACCACTAGTTGCAGAGAACCCAAAAGGATTCTCAATCACCCATGCAAACAATATTTATGCTGTGTTTTCCACTTTGCAAAGTGTTCTGGCAAGGAGTGGAGGGACTCAGGTTAATGCTGGTGCTCTGAATTCTTGTTAGTATTTCAAGATCAAGACAGCACTGAGCCTGGGAGAAATCAATCAATCAACCAATCAGATCCGACAGAAACATCATTCTGATGTCACTGAGCCTTTGGCTGCTTCAGGAGGTAGCTATTTCTACAGAAACAAAGTTAATATAGTCAAGAGAGTAGATGTTAACAAATAAATTGGTAACCTATCTTATGTTGGAGAAAATGGGAAACAAAAGTAAATAATGAAAAAAATTTATAATGCTGTTATTAGATAATAACTTTAAAGATAGGTAATATCTGTTTTTGTTTTTAAACTAGAAATACAGCCTTCTTGAGTCTAAAAAGGCTAGATTAAGCAAAGACATACTGGCACTTCTGCAAAGTCCAACATACAAGACATTTTAAAAGATGGATAGAAGATGTGTACTAAAATACAGCTGCTAACAAATATTCAATAATGAATTGAGCTATTTAAATATTTACAGCTTATATAACTTATTTCAAATGCCCAACTTCTCTTAAGCCTTCATATTTCAAATGACCCAAATACTTACAAATAATCATAAATTATACACTGACAGAGTATTTATTAGTGAGACCGCAGAGTAAAATTATGAAGAGAGGGGCATTGGAGCCCTTTTAAGAGTGTTTGGTGATCCAGAAAAACAGAGACCTGCTTCACACTCCACTGGGTCAACCTGACGAACTAATTAATCTTAATTTTGCCAAATATAGTATTTTTTAGTCTACCTCAAAGATGAGAAACTGAAGTGATCACTATATTAAATGTGTAACCTTTGCTACAATGTTTTAGAAAACAACACCAATGATTTAAAAAAAAAAATGAACCTTTCACTTGCCCAACTTTTTTTTTCTCTAAAGGATGTGTCTCTTACTTGCACTGCAGCTGGAATTCTCAAAAAGGACCTCAAAGGCTGACACACAAGACATCAAAGCATTCCTTAAAAGGCTCAGCAGCCACTATGGCTACTGCCAGGAAATCACTCCAAACACTCATTCTGAAAAAAGTCAGCAGTCAAAGAGGAAAGGAGGACTTAGGGGCTGTCAGAGCTGGCAGGTATGTTTAGGGGCCAGTAGTCTTTTGTCTTGAATGAAGTACAGTTTTAAGTCCCTAATTGACACAAGGGAGAAGGCCATCTGAGGACTTCTAAATTCTTTTATGAGATCACCTTGGAGGAAAAGAACAAGTTTGTTAAAATGTACGTCTGGTTTTTCATTTAGTCGAAAAAGCTATGGAGGCTAGAATACTTAAAAATAATTCATGTGTTATAGTTAAAAATTTTAAAGTTTTACAAATAAGTCGTATAGCCAATGAGAAGAAAATATTACAAAACAGGACTCCATGTTTGTTTCCTGGGGGAAGGGGAGAAGAAATGGGCTACATGCTGGCTTCTTTCTTATTCTTTTGTATACTGGTGTAGGTAACTCTTTAGTAGCTTTATTTTCATTCGTTAAAGGGAGAGTACCAGAAGAAAAAAAAAAATCTTGAGAGTATCTTCCTAGAGAGTAAGTAACAAATGAAATGGAAAGGGAGGAAGAAGAGATAATGTGTCAGTTCAGTAGTGAACTTTTAGAAGGCAACAGTGCTGGGTAAGAATGCTTTAAAGATGCTCATTTGTAACTTCGGACGCGCTACTGATTAAAAAAAAAAAAGTATCCAGTTTGTATCAGCTTTAAGAGATCCGCCAGGTCACCTTCAAAAATTGTTACATCCCACTCGCTTTGCAATTTTGTGACAAGCGAGTGGAAAAGTCAAAGGCAGCGTCCAGTCACCTTTAGCTAACCTGAAAAGGGGGGGGGTGTGTGTGCAGGGAGTCTGATGGTGTGGATAACCCTCTATAGCCACGCACTGGATGCAACCGAGAGTCGCCTCCAAGGCACAGAGACCCACGCAGTGGCCGGCGGGGCAAGCGCACCCGGGCGAAGGGCGGCCGGGAGAAGAGTTGCCACAACTCCCGGGATGCGCCGGGCAGGGCAGAAAACTCCACGTTCGGACGTAGCTCTCAGAGGTCGCTCCCCAAAACTGACCCGCCACGCGTCCTGGTAACGGCCAGCTGGCCCGGCGCGACAGTCCCAGCCGCGCTCCGCCTGTCGGAAGCGCGCGTGGGCCCCGAGCGGCCCCGGCGAGTGGACCAGAGCGCGGCCCCGACCCGCCCCCAACGACCCCGGCGGCGCAGGGCGCGCAACTCACATGTGCGGGTTCCTTCGGAAGGCGTTGGTGATGTCCTTCACCACCCTCTGCACCAGCACCGCCACCTCCTCGTTCGTCTCGGCCATGTTGGCGGCCGCGGCGATCCGGCGCGCCTCCGGGAGAACCCAGCCGCCGGCGGGAGTTTCGCGGGGGCGCGCGCGCGTTGGCTCAGGCGCGCTCTCGCAGAAGCCACCGAGCACTTCCGGGTCAGGGAGGGCCTGAGCGCCGCTAAGTTGGGCCGGCTCTTCACGGTTTTAAGTCTTTGATTGAAATTTGGTTCACCAAGCATGGAGGAAGGAAGGTTCTCCCCGCACCTTTCCGAGCAGGCGTGTCCCGGGGTGGCCTTTACCCAGGGTCCTCTGGACAGCAGCACCGTGCCCGTTTCACCGGCCCACCCCCGGAGGAGGCCGGTTGCTGACCTCCTTTTGCACACTTGTGCTACTTTGTGTCTGAAATTTAAAGTAGCCCTTTTAATTAGACCTTGTAATGCATTAGGCAAAGAAAAAAAAGTAAAGGAGAAACAACTCTCCAGATCTAGGGGCAAAAGTTAAAAAAAAAAAAGTAACCCACTGTACTTTTGGTATTTTTGATACGTTTGGCGATCATTGCGTTAATGTCGAGTATAAAAGAAAAATAAAAAAAAATAAAATAAGGCATTGACAATTTCTTCCTGATATCTGTTGCCCCACAAATTATAAGATTTTTCTGTTCCATTTGGATTTTAAAGTGCTGTAATAAAAGTTTTATTTTTATATATCAGGTTTATTTGTCTCTTCTAAGTACAAAACTCTGACTGACTGCCTTTAACTGGTGATGGTTCCTCCTCCTCTTCCTCCTCTTCTTCCCTTCCCCTCCCCTCCCCTCCCCCCCTTTTTCCCTCCCAAGCTTGAAGTCTGTATCTATTTAAAACTTGGATCTCTAAAAACCAAAAGTTTTGAAAGCAAACTTTGATTGGTTATGGTCCTGGTGAAGAAACAAGAGAAAGTCTACAAACTTGTAGAAAGCAAGACAGAACTGGTTAAGACACTGTAAAATCTTAAGACTCTTGGCAAGCTCTAGGATAAAGCAGTGAAATGTATGGGGTGTGTTACATCCCTAGACCAAGAACAATTTCAAGGGTCCTGTTGAAGAGTGATACCAGGGTCTGGAGATGGCTCAGCAACAAAAAACATTTGTTTTTAGCACCCACAACCATCTGTAACTCCAGCTCCAGACAATCTGACATCCTCTTCTGGTCTCTGTGGGAGGCCAGAAGCTACTAAGAACGATGACAGCATGAATTTGCAGGCAAACGGATGGAACTGGAAAATATCATCCTGAGTGAGGTAACTCAGACCCAAAAGGACATGCATGGTATGTATTTACTAATAAGTGGATATTAGCCAAAAAAAAAAAAAAAGTACAGCATTCCCAGGACTCAATCCACAGAACTCAAGAAGGTTAAAGCCGAAGGGTCTAAGTGAGGATGCCTCAATCCAGAGAGAGAGAGAGAGAGGGAGAGGGAGAGAGAGAGAGAGGG